GTAGACTCTATCTTGTCAGCATAACTCGTGTATTTGTCACTGTAAATGCATGTGAGTCAGTCAAAACAGTTCAAAGTTGAGATGAACAGGATAATTACCTACTTATGCTTGAAAAAAATGAATATTTCGTCTCTATCTTCCAAGTATATTTCTTCCTTGCTTTGTTCACACTAGTCAAGGGAGCCGAGTATACAAAGTGGAGTTTGTCGTCTACTCATGGTAGAGAATTCCTGTCACTATTATTATTATTATTATATCCTTTAATTCCTAGAGGAACATACGGCTTCAGCTACGCGTCTCCATTGCCTTCTGTCTTCTGCCAACTTTTCCACTCCGCTCCAAGTCTTCCCACATGCTTTCATCTCCTCTTCACATGACCTCCTCCAAGTCACCCTCGCACTGACGACCAACTCGCCGCTTCCCGTTCTAGTGCCACTCAAGGGCTTGTCTAGTGATGTCACTTTCTGGTTCCTCAGCGTATGGTCAATCCATCTGCATTTCTTCCTGCCTATTTGTTTCACAGTTGTTTCTTAGTTGGTTCACTCCCAGAGATCGCTGTTCCTGATCTTTTCTGGCCGGCCATCTGATCTTGAGTGGTATTGAGGGAAGACAGCTGTTGATGAAGGTCTGAAGTTTGTTTGAGATGCTCTTTATAATTCGCCAAGTTTCTGATCCGTATAGTAGCACTGAATTTACATCGGAGTAGAAAATCCGGATCTTATTTTTCATTTTCATGCTTAGAGCTGTTGACCTCCACACAGACTTGAAAGTAATGAAAGCTTGTCTTGCTTTTCCGATTCTGGCTTTGGTGTCCTCGTCAGTTCTACCTGTCACTATTATTCTACAATTATCAGATATTACAGAGACATTAAGTTTGTTGTCAGGTATGAAGGTTTCTTTCTTTTTCATTGCTTCTTCATATAGTTTCTTAAATATAAACCTGGTATTCAGAACCAACTCGTTGTTACCCAATTGAAGGCCCTTTTTAAGTATGTCCAGTCCATGTTTACTTCGTGTCAGCTCGTTATCTTACCTGTAACCTGTCAGATTTCTGTAAACCAACACTTGAGAAATTATGAAATAATAGAGAAGATTTGTAGCTCAGTTGGATGATTTGCAATTAGTAGTGTTCGCCAATCTGGTTGTTTTAATTGCAGAGCTTTCGTCGTCCCCCTTCTGGACAACATCCCCTTTCAGCGCAATTTTTAGCATAAAGTGAACTGATTAAAAATTTTTTCCATGAGTGATAGAATTGCGTCTCCCCATGACCATCTTTAAATTTGCATTGATCGGTTTTTTATTGACTCAGATTTTAAAATTTCTCGTCACATGAATTATTTTTTATTAGTTGATATATTTGGTCTATATTAATATGTTTGTTAATCGCCTATTCGTTCGAATACCAGGCTTCTAGGAATTCCCTGGCATTTTCAGTGTTTCCTCTGTCTAAAATTTCGATACTCTCGCAATCAAACTGACGTCCATAATTGTCTGTATGCATTGATATGAAAGAATATATATCGTGTCTTTTCACGGCTGATTTGTGTTCCTGGGCTCTGATTCTAAGAGGACACCCACTTTGACCGATGCAATTTGTGTTACAGACCATACAATTTATGTTGTAAATGGTAATAATTTTATCTCCTTTTTCTGTTGGATCTTTCGATTTATACAATATCGAATGAAGTGATTGAACTGGCTGGCTTATGTGCTATATCTATTTCAAATGGTTTTAATATTCCAACTGTTATTTCAGAGATATTTCTCATATATGGTAGGATGAATTTTCTTCTAGTCTTTGATGATGGTTGCTTGTTGGTGTTGTGATTCGATTTTAAACACTTTTTGATGAAATTGTTTGGATATCCATTCTTTTTGAAGACCATTAGTAGGTATTCTAATGCTCACTAGTAACTGGCTCTATACAAGAATTTACCAGTAGTTCTGGTGCGAAGTCGTGTTTAGCGCAGTCCATCGTTATTCATCAGTGATATTATCTGCCTGATGCGCTACATAGGCATCTCAAATTAGCAGAAGTTGGAATTTATGGCCCATTGATTCGGATCCTAATGCCTGAATGATCTACAGGCTTGACTTGCAACTTTTAGGCCCTGGGTTCGAAACCTAGCAGGTATGTATTGACGAAGATTCTCAAACTAGAGAATAAGACAACTGCTCAGCACTCCTGTTTTTTAGTGGTTTCAATGCAGAAAAATCCTCATTTAGACATCCAGCATGATTAAGCAAGGGACAAACAAGATCTATCCGTAGTTCTATTTTAGCCCACCTTGTTGATACTGAGCATAAGGTGGATGCTAATACTGCATTTAAAATTATTTATCGCATTCCGACTTATCTTAATTTTGCTCTGCGAGTTCGTCTTCTACAGATAGCTGAAGCAATCGGAATTCACCTGAAGAAGCCAAGCCTATGTGTTCAGAAAAAATTTGTACAGCCACTTTCCTTACCGTGGCCAACGTTACAAGAATGCATAAACAGGACTACTTTGCCCCCATTCACTTAAAACTTTAAAAATTATAATTGTCCAAATTATTTTATTTTTTCTGGCCACTTCATCTTTAATTACGTGTTATCCTTATAAAATTAATTTATTCTAACCATTTATACCTTTTAAATGTGTGTATTGATTTTCTTCGCTAATTATCAACCGGTTGACATTTTGACACTGACTAATTATTGTTAACAAACTTATCGCCACTTGATTGGCACACTGTTGTGTATTGTAATAAAAATGTTATACGTGTATATTAGAGTAGAGCCAGAGATGAGGATCTAATTGAAAAAAAAAATTTCTTCGCTCAATCTTTCTGTTTTTTTAGTGATTCTCTAACTGATATCGATTGGTGATTAAAGTTGATGTAAATTTGCTGAATTTCTTGTTGCTTATCTTTTCTATACCTCTGCTTATCAGTATCTGACCATCGAAGGCATCTATTGATGAATACTTGTACTTTGATTGGGGCCTGGTAACTAGTGTGATCTGTCCAGTCCCTTTCTTTAGTGCAGACTGAATTCTGTCAATCAAGTTTGCAATGTGGCCACTATTCAAGGTAGCTCGTCATCACGGTGCGCATTGGTTTGATGGTATTAGATGATTGGAGGCAATCGGACACAAGAAGTCTTGACTAGACTCAGGTTTCGTGATAGTTGGCACTCACCAGTCAGTCAGCAAGGCCACATTTCAAACTTTACTGATAGAATTCAATCTGCACCAAAGGTAGGGCGTCTTACATAGCCTCTCCTGAGGAAGTCCTACTCACTGCCTTTACGTGGCGGAGGTGTTTTTCACCAAAGTGAGAGGGCAAAAGCGGATGCCCGGCGCTCTTCACCGGGTTGACTAACCATTGGATGACAGTCTAGGGGAGATGGCTAAACCCTGATTCCAAACCTCCAACGACTGGCGTATGAAGCTCACCGGAGGTCACCGGCAGACGTATGGACAAAGGGCTTATTGGATGCCCTGGATGACTGGCCCCATTCAAAAAGGCGAATGAACCGGACTCCGGTCACCGGCTGCCAATGGATAGTGGACTCCCTACTCCACTCCTACTGCCTTGTAGGTCACACTTGGTTGTGTAAAGGCTAGAGCTGCACTCCCAAACAAAGGCCGAGCGATGCTGGGGACATCACTCGTACCCAATTCCCATGAAACTTCATGGTTCATGAAGCCGGCTCATCCTCCCGTAGGAGATAGCCGAAGTAAAGTAAGTAAGTAAAGATAGGAGTAGACACATCACAGTAATTACTAACTACTGTCCAATCATAGTATCCAATACAATCCTACAGGAAGTCAGTCACAAACCTGAATAGCTCTCTGGTAACGTCTGTGACTGGCCACTGGTACTGACTGACATGGGTTCGAATCTCAGAAGGGATATGAATTCCTTCAAGGTTTCAGACACACTTTGCTGGTTGGTGACTGCCAACTAACAGGAAACCTAGGTCCAGTCAAGGCTTCCTGCCGATAGTCTCCAAGCATCTACTATCACTACAGCGATCATCTAAATACAATTTCATGTTATTAGCATAGAACTCATTCCTTTTTATTTAATAAAATCAGGAGACTATCATTTTTATTAACTGGTTACTTTGCAACAAAACGTGAACAAATATATACAACCTTATTTTTCGCTTTCTAGATTTCATCTTTAGTTAAAACAAAACAAAAAAAGAAATACCCGTACTCAAAATAAATGTCAATTTAAAAATCTGAATGGAATAAAGTATTGCAATCAGATCTTTGACTTCCGTACTGTCGTCATCTATCCTCAAAATGTGGAGATTTCAACTTCTAGTATCACAGTACTTTTTGACAGGCATCAAAATTCATGCGGTAGGTACATGTTCGTATACATACATACATACATACACAGTTATCATCATCGTCTTTTTCTAATTTCCTTGCGAATGACATTTATGATGACATTTGTAACTGGATGGTCGAAAAGACTGATTCACGATAAATGTCTAACGTATTATGTACAGTTGGTGTAATATATCAGTGTTGCCTATTGTGTTGTTGTGTTTACTGATTCGTAGTAGTAATGTCTACTGTAAGCCTATTGGTTATCCCACTTAAAGTTTGACCTTGAATTGACAAAGCAGGTGATAAAATATTATATCTATCTTACGCATATTTTTGAATAAAGTTGTAGCGCTTGTTTAAAATGTCTACTAATATTTAAAAAATAAAGGAAAACTCATAAAGATAGTGAGAAGAAAAGAAGGTTGTATGACCACAGACGAACGTACGCCTTACGTCATATTTTATCACGCACGCTCTCAAAAATATCAAAATTTTATACAAACATTTTTACTTTTTCTTTCCATTTATATAAAAATATATATATATTGAATGTTGAACAAGTTCTGAAGTGTAATAAATCACAGAGAATATTGATTATTGAAATACATACTGATTCGTTTTATTCACTCAATATATATATATATATATATATATATATATATCTATATTGTTGTTAAACACTATTCAGTGGTTTCATTTGTAAAGTTTTGAATACACAAAAATGTATAAATGTTAAGCATAATAATGATAGCTGTATTAACCGGCCTGAATTACCACCTCGAAGGGAATTGGCTCCTATAAAAAATGAGAATAAATAGAAGATGACAAACGTAAGGATAAAAAAAAGAAGCAACGAGGCACCATCAATAATTTTGTTTCATACATTTATTCCCCTTAATGAATTTGAACAAAGCAAGAACTACAGTGGTTTTTGCAGAATCAATTGTTACCATCATTATTTATTTCGTTGCCTTCTCATCAGCTGCTTGCTTACAAGGCAAAGACATTAGTAAATATATCTACAACAACAATTTTGACATACTTGCACAGAGTTAAGTTTAAACAAAAATCAATCGATCAATATATGCATACAGTGTTAATATGTATATATATGTAATATTAAACACTATTTCTAACAACAATAATAATCATACACATTAGAAACTTTTCAGCATTACGCATTCAGATGAAAGAGAGATGAAAATATTCCATTACCAGGCAGAGTAAAGAAAGACTGATAACCGCTTCTTTCTAGACGCATAAATCAAGTTTCAGGCTCTTGATGGAAATGGTTTCAGCAAACTAACTTATGGAGAATTGAGCTCTTTTGCCCATTGATAATTTTGAACGATTTTGTGACGTCCATCTCATGAACCATTTTAAGGAGATGCCTGGTGATGGATGGCACTGTTTTAAGCATTTGTTCCCTTTAGACATAAGCGTTTTGGTGAATGTTCATAAAATCGTAGACATACCCTTCTTTCTGTCCTTCCAGTGTAACTGTTCCCTCAGATACATGTAAATTTGTATATAGAGTTGGAGTTAACATGGGAAGGATATCTATCGATTTTTGATTGCATGAAGGAGCAAGTTATTCGATAGACGGGGATGAGCTTAGCTGCAGGATAGGCTATAGCCAGTGATGCACTGAGCCTTCTGTTGATCATCGCTGCAATGTTTTCACCTTTATAGTCAAGCTGAATGTATATTAGCTTTTTACCCACAGTGATCTGTTTTACATTTGTGACTTCAGATCTTCCATACTTGCTGATGAACCTTTGAGGGTACCCATTGCCCTTCAATATATTTTCAAAAAACTCAAATTCTTCATTATTTTAGGTTGCAAATGCAACATAAGACTTGGAAACTTTGTAAAAAATTATATTTGTAAAATCTCAGCGGTATTGAAATGAGTAATTCCAACGTTTCGTTCGGAAATCTGGTCCGAACTCAACTAAACTCTAATCCTAAACACCATAATTTTGAAAATACGTCTAATCATAAAACTCTAGATACTAACAGTTTGAACAGACATGAAGGTGTGATGTTAGATGACGCATAGGAAATCCTGATTAATAAATAAGAATGGATATGTATCACTAGCTAATAATACTTGGTCAAAGTTTCCCGACTGTCTATATCTACTTATGGAGACGTTAAGACATTGTTTTACAACTGTTTATCCGCACACACACACACACATACACACATACACACTGTGTTTAAAGTGTTTAACAAAGGTAGATCAATATTTGTAAGTCTGAGGTCAAATTTTGATCACAACTCGTACAATTTTGTTTATTATACTTGTTAATATTTGTTTTATAAATCATGATTGGACAAAGTTTTTAAAAACTAAATATGTTCCTTTTATATATAAACCTGTTATGTTAATTTCGATTAATTTCCCTGAAGAAGTTCGGACCAGATTGCCGAACGAAACGTTGGAATTACTCATTTCAATATCGCTGAGATTTTACAAATATAATTTTTTACAAATGTCTACTTCTCACTCGGCGCCCAAATATTATAGAACTATTCTGTCAAATCTTGACTACAGTTCATTTGACTTGGAAACTTTGTTTCTGAAAAGTGGATTTACTAATCTTACTGCAAATCTTTCCTCTTTTCCAGTAGTACTACCTATTGGTTAACTAGGCAGGTTTAAGGAGTGTTTCGATAGGGAATACAACCTGAGACTTCCTGATAGTTGGTCAATATTCTACCGCTGATATTGTCAGTAAAGGTCTTTAAGTTATATATTTAAAAATCACTCCACACTGCTATGCGTCTAAGAATTGTTTTCCGGTTAGAGAATAAGTGAGTTATGCGTATCTAATCTACTTTGGGGGTGGGTCGGTGGCACAGAGGTAGAATGTGCGCCAACGACGCAGGTGGTCCGTGGTTCGATCACCGGCCACAAACGCACTCTTTTACCTCACTAGGCCATTAATTAGACTGGTAAAGAGGGAAGGTTGGGCATGAGGCTAGCAACTCCATCCTGTAAAAATAATCACCAGTACTAGTGAAACTTCAAGCCTCTAGCTGGAAGCCGCACTATGTTCCACTGGGAATGCAGAGGAATAAGAAGAATTTTCTATTTCGGGTAGGGAATATGAGGTTTAGATACGTTTTGTTGGTGAGCATCGACAAGTGCATAATCTAGTTTTTTCTGAGTATTAGTATTAGCTACTAAAACTGCTTACTGCATAAGCTGTATTTAGATGGTAAATTAGTAGTGACCTTGATATCAAAGTAGAAAATGTTCTGTGGTCTGCAAAATGAAATTAGTTAGACAGTTCTGAGCGAAAGAGATATTTTACAATGATGCTTATGGAGAATATACACTGGGTATTTTTTTTCTTTTTTTTGATTTACAGCTTGATTCCACACTGTATTTTTGGTACAAGTATGGAATTTTCAGCATGGATATCGGTAGCCCAAATTATGCAGGCCGACCATAGATATCAGGTGTGCGCCGGCGTGGGCTCGAATCAAGTGCTTGTGTAAAACTACCCTCTAAACTTAGAAAATTATTATTATTAATTTCCTTTAATTCCTAGAGGAACATAGGGCTTCAGTCGCGCGTCTCCATTGCGTTCGGTCCACTGATAGAGTTTTCACCTGGCTCCAATTCTGCCCACATGCTTTTATCGCCTTTCACATGACCTCCTCCAAGTCACCCTTGGGCTAACGAACAACTCGCCGCTTCCCTTTTGAGTTCCACTCGAGGGCTTGTCTAGTGATGTCACTTGATGGTTTCCCCAGGGCACCTCCATTTCTTCCTGCATATTTGTTGCACAATTAGTTCCTGCTGCGTTGGCCAAGTTATTTCCAGAGATCCCTGTTACTGATCTTTTCTGGCAAGCTATTTGATCTTGAGCGGTATTGAACGAAGACAGCTATTGATTAAGGCCTGTAGTTTGTTTGAGGTGTTCTTCATGACGCGTCAGGTCTCTGATCCGTTTAGTAGCACTGACTTCACATTGGAATTGAAAACCCGGATCTTATTTTTGTAGATGAGTGCTGTTGACCTCCACACACTGGCTATCATTAAGCCTGTTACAGTATTTATGAATAGTTTCATATATCCATTTCGATTTATTCAATTTATTCATATAGTGAGAACGTTAAAGATCCCATAGAAGGTGTTATCTTTACTTGATTTTAAACTGAATGCATATAGCATTCACATCTTTCTGAAGTAGTTTTAAATGCACCATGAAATGTTTTCCAAATTTACAGACTGAAATGTTCTTAAAATTACATAATTATGTCAGCTGGTTCCAGACTACGGACAGAAAGCTGCCTTACACGCTTATTCGGCACTCATTCAACATAACGTATCTGAAGCCTCGAGGAAACTGGTGTCATCTAATGGATTTAGACTCAGATCATTTTACGGGTGTGGTCAGAAACGTTGCCGTTGGACAAGTTTCCTTTAATAGGGGATATCAGTTCCTTTCGAGGTTACAGATGATTGTTGACAGACACGAAACTCAGATTATTGGTTTCCTATAGATTTTCACCTTAGATCAATTCACAGTGTGCATTACTAAGGTGAATCATCTTTCTTGGTGATTATATCGCAAACCCGACCTGAATGGTGGCATTCAGTCAATACCAATATATTATTTATGTTACATACACCTAGTTTCGCCTAATTTAGCCTAAAACCTTAGAATGATTATTTTAAGGAGTTATCGTGCTTTAGCGTGGTCTCCTTGTTTTTTCCTCTGCTTGGATTGCTGGATTCCTATTGGCTGTTAAGACTTTTAATGGATTTCTTACTGAACTACTGAATGTTCAAGGTCCTTCTAGCTGTATGTATACAGGGTTTCTGTCCAGCATTTTGAGACAGTAAAAGCTCTCTTATCGACATCCAGTCTTTTCTTTTGTCTTTGCGTGCCTGTGGTGTTACTGTTGTTGTTGATGGTGTGCGATTAGGACAGATTAGCCAAGGCATTAAAGTTAGCATTCGTTCATAGTCTACTAAATCGTAGTTCCGAGCATAAAAAGTTTGGCAAAGTTGAACAATAGCCTCTTAGGGGTGCGAATTCTCCAATGACCTTGAAGGCATGCTAGTAGTTGGCCAATCGCATCTGACACTATCACAGCTGAAATATCAACGCTATTCACTAACTAAGCAGCAAATTTCACCTATATCACGTTTTTAAGTACTGTTTGGACAATGTGTTAGTAGCTCATTAGGGTTTGGATAAGGGTTATGATTAGGGTTAGGATTAAGGTTAGGGTTAGTGTTAGGGTCAGGATTAGGCTTATGGTCACGATTAGGCATAGATATATGATTGATGTCATTTATTTTAATTTTTTATTATCCATGTTTTCCTGGTAAGTAGTCGTTTATCCTCTTACTGGAAACCATAATAATTCAACTGAGGGCATTTTGGAAGACTGCAGGCAGGATGAGAGAGATAAACGTTTCACAAAAATAGTTTATCTGTAGTCATCTCGGCAAATACATGTACAGAAACTATTCTCACTTAGCAGCTGATACTGCTCATCATAACTAGGACGTATTTTTAAGTCATGTCAGCGAAAGGTAACCTGTTTATAGCGTTTTCAAGCATTTTCTTGTAAATATACGTCATTTTTTGAGAAAATATTCCTCATTTTTATGATTGGTCGGCTGAAGGTCACTCGTACGTTTGCACTCCTGAGACGCCATTGTTGAACTTTGCCAATACAGCAAAGTTACTTCCTGGCGACGAATTAATTTAAAATTGAATATTATTATTAATATTAAGACAAACAGTCAGTTATAAATGATAGTCAGATGAAGTGATCTAAGTGTCAAACTGCTGTTTCAAATTGCTTGGAGTCGAGCTCATCAGTTATGTATTTAGTTTGTTGACTCCGCTCAGAGAGTTGAAACCCCACACGAAGTCTGGTTAGCTGTGTTTGAACGAGCCAGCAATACTTTAGATTGTAAACTGTGCGAATTCTTTAGAGGAATAATTAACGTATTATCAGGAATCAAGTTACCATTATTATTGTTAGTATTATTAGAATTATTCTATTTTAGAAATAAGAATATCGTGTTTCCTGCATTATGAATAGGGCGAAGTCTAACAATAGCGTCCCAAGGGATGCAAACGCACGAGTGACATTCAGCCGACTAATCATAATAATAAGTAACTTCCGCACAAAAAATGACGTCTATATATATAAGAAAATGCATAAAAACAAATTGAACAGGGTATCTTTCTCTGATATGACTTAAAAATACGTCCCAGTTATAATGACGAGTACCAGATTCTAAGTCAGACTAGTTTCTGTACATGTTTTAAACAAGGTGATTGAAGATGACCTGTTTTTGTGAATCGTTTATCTTTCTTATCCTGTTGTACAGTCTTCCGCATAAGCCCTCCGTTGAATTACTATGGTCTCCAGTAACAGGATCGAAGACCACTTACCAGGAAAAATGTGGATAATAAAACACACTAAAATAAATGATATCAACTCTAAATCTATCCGTAATCATGACCCGAACCCTAATCCCAAAACTTACCTGAAGCCTAATCGTAACCCTAACCAGCTATTAACACATTGTCCAAACAGTGCTTAAAAACGTGATCTGGGTGAAATTTGCATTTTATTTGGTGAATGGCTTCGATATTTCAGCTATGATAATGATAGATACCATTAGCCAACAACTAGCATCCGTTCAAGATCACTGAAGCGTTCGCACTCCTGAGAGGTTGTTGTTGAACTTCGCCATAAATACTACTGCACATTAGGATGGCTTAGTTGTTGTACCTCTATGATACCTTGCAGTTTTTCAAAGTATGAACTCACAAAACAAAGTATATTCTAAAATTTATTTGTCATCAAATAAAGTGCGTCAGTGACACGGCGGTTAAGATTCTCGCCGACCATACCCATGGTCTGGGTTTAGATCCCCTGCCGACGCACACCTGATATCAATGGTCGGCCTGCGAAATTTAGGCTACCGATATCACATGCTTAAAATTTCATACTTGTACCAAAAATACGTTGTGGAATCAAGCTATAATCAAAATAAATAAATAAATGAATACATAAGAATTACAAGTTATATTTCCTATGAACTGATATCAGTTTGGTTATGCCTTGAGTTCAATCGAATATCCTTAAATCTAAGATCGGTATATACATTCATCATGCAGCTTTAGTTAACTATGAGCATTGATTTTCCGGGAATATAACAAGAAATCATTTTTTACAGAGCAGTTCAAGCCGAATGATTATTCGCATAGAATTCGCCCTTCCTGATCCTCGCGCTTTGATATCTTCATCAGTTCCGTCAGCTTGTAGTTGGAACAATGCTTCCCAGCTCAGTAGGTAGGTAAACAGGTGGTTGAATGTATCGTAGTGACATATATTAAACAGTTATACAAGAAAAACGTTTATAGGCGTAATCAAAACATAAAATGTTAGATATTACCTGAAATTGAAAATCTATATGTTGCTAGAAATCCATGTCGAACAATCATATTATTTGAAAAGAATTTAATAATTAGGCAAGATTTTCTCCAATTTATACGAATAGTATTATTCTTATATTGGCCAACATTTTGACAATAATACTTCCGGCCTAAATCTAAGATTGATAAAGTTGAACAACTGCGCACTTCCACATAATCACCATCTCCATCCGTTGAACACCTAGGCGAATAAAAGGTATGCAAATTAGACAGTTTCACTTGACTGCTATTGCTATAAAATTTGCGCTGTAAATGTTCAATATTTTAATAGAAGCAGGAAATGTGTTTCGTTGACACATGTCATGCTGTTTTCTGACAAAAGTAAGTTTACACATGAATGGATAGTGAACAAACTGTACTCTTTTCGATTACCAGCTCTTCATCACGTTCTGCAGTTATATATACATTATAGTGAATGAATGAATGAATTAGTGTTATGAACAACATTAATGTTGCTGTTTAAATAACATCGAATCAATAATATTGATAGATTACAGCTCAATAGCATCAACATAAAATAAACTGAATATCAGAAAAATTAGGGAAGATAATATTACAAATTTATAAATTATTTTTTTTGTGTTTTTGGAGTATAGCAAGAACCAAAGGAGTCAGTCTTTGCTCCGGTATAAGTGCGGCTCTAGCCTTAAGATGCGGGGGGGTCTGGAGGCAAGAACGTATCCCGTTTTCGTGTTATGCTATATAATCCCAAAAAAACCAAAAAACAATTAAAATCTGTATGCCTTGTACGGGGTTCTAGTGGGAAGCCGTGACCAGTAGGGTACAGCAGGTCGAAGATGAGGCAGTAACTCATCGAAGAAGACATTGCGAAGTGGTCGCGCTATGTCGTGAACTGGCAGAAGTTAGAATTCAAGGACCATTGGATCGGGTCCCAGTGGCTCAATGGTCTACGAGCTCGCCTTGTAACCAGAAGGTCCTGGGTTCGAATCCCGGTGGGTGCGTACTGCTGAGGAGTCCCAAACTAGGACGAAACGGCTGTCCAGTACTCCCAGGTTTTCCAGTGGTTCTCTAACTGATGTCAGCTCAGGATTAAATCCTCCATGCAAACAAATTTATAAATTTATAGTCTCTACTAATGGCCGGCCAGGGCAGTAGTAGTGGCTAGCTGGACTTGCTTCTTTTGAACACAGAGCACTGGTTCTTTGAGGCGAATTGCAGTAGCCTGTGCTGTTTGGAGTATGCGGCGCTTCGATGATTTTGGCAATTTATTTGGCACTCGGTAGATGATAGAGAAGGATTTTTCCACACTGGCTGGCTTTGTGGCCTGTTTTCACCAGATGGTCCAATATCGAACTGTTAATCATTTTCACTACACCTTTACTTAGCCATAGTGGGAGATATTCATAGAAGTAAGTTTTATGAAATATGTACACTGGGCAAAATAATTTAAACGTAATAAGTTTGATTTTTTTACTAATCAAATGGCCTTAAGAGTTATAAAACTGTGTTACAGTCGTATCCATCTATGGGTGTTTTTTATCAAGAAAGCTTTACGTGGTTATGGAATTGTGTCAGATATTATGCTTCTGTGCTGCCTACAGTGTCAAAGTTTTCTTTTTTTAAAGTACCTGAAACATAAGGAGAATTAACGCCACATGACTAGTGTGCTGAGGAGATAACTACTCGAGAAAGAGACTGACTACATGCGGCCTGTTTGAGTTGGTTGTTTTTTAAATCGCCTCTGTATTAGGATTTCGCTGATGTCTACGGATAACCGAAAGGTAAGTCACGATGTCCAATTTTCGGCGTTAACCTATTTTAACTCCTCTCCACTCTGAGGAGAGGAAAGATAGCTGGCTTGTTAGTCTTCTCAAGAAAAAAACTTACTGCCTTGACATCCATATTCGCCAGCAGTACGACTACCACCATAGACCCCCCAGCATAAGGTGAGCAGCTTACACTATGGTGGTATCTCCTTTTTAGTCTAACAGCTATCCAAAAGAATACTCTAGTAAGAATCTTTAGAAAACATTAGTTATGATGTAGAAGATTTGTAGCTCAGGTGGATGATTTCGATGTGGGTGTGATCTCTCATCTGGGTAGTTAGTTTGCGAAGCTTTCACCGCCCTACTAGGCAACATCTTCCGCGCATACTTCAATTTGAATTGGAGTGAACTTTTAGATTTCTCCACAAGTTCACTCTTAGTCATCTCTCCTGGTGACCTTGAACGTGATTAGTTGTTTATGTTTACACCCTATAGGCGACTTGTATTGGAACTGGTTGTTCACTGACTTGAACTTTGACCCTTTGCGTGTGAGATATTTTGCTTATCAATTGGTGAATTTTGTCGATCTCGATGTGTATATTGATTGATGGTTCACTGGAATACCAGTTAGCCTTCTGAAAATTCTCTAGCATTCTTGGTGTTTCCTCTGTGTAATATTTGAATTTTGGTTGTCGCAGTCGAACTGATGTTCGTGGTTGTCTGTATGTAGTGATATGAAGGAGTGGATATTCTACCATATGTAAAGGACATCTCAGAAATCACTACAAGACTATCCAAACCTTTAAGAATTGACGTCGTACACAAACCAACAAAGTCGCTTCACTCAGTTCTATGTCAACCAAAAGACTCAGCAGCGAAAGAAGATAAAACCAACATCATCTACAAAATAAATTGTAACAACTGCGAAAAACACTACATTGGTCAGAGTGGACTCCCCTTCGTCTTCGTATCAATGAACATTAACTAGCCGTCAGAAGACATGACACCCACTCCCTAATATCACTACATACAGACAACTACCGACATCAGTTAGACTGCAAAAACATTCAACTATTAGACAAAGGAAACACAAAGAATGCTAGACAAGTTTTAGAAGGCTGTCTCCTATTCCAGTGAAGGGGCGATGAAAGCTCCGCAAATTAACTACCCAGATGACAGAACACAACCATGTCAAAAAAGAAAACATTAGTTCCAGTCAGTGTAGTTCATTAGATCCTAGGGATATGAAAGTCTTACCACCACCACCACATCAAGGTGTTATCTGTCGGCGGGGAAGAAAGTGTGGCTGAAAACCATTCATATTAGTACAGATACATTACTTCGGAAGACACATAATCTTTGTCTACTATACTAGTTTTAGTGTAGAACTTTAATCATCGTATTTCCAGTTTTCATCTCAAAGTTAACTGTCATTACAGTTTAAGTTTTGACTGGAAAACGTTTCATTTTCATGCTAGCATATGTTGATCAATGAGGCTTCTAGAAGGTATGTAAGATAAAGGCTAACATACAAGTCTTCAAGTGTACACCAGTATAATTATAGACAAACACTATTAATAGTAGCGGAGGAGCAACTGATTATTCTACGTTGTCCTACAAATCTTGACTCACGAGATTCATGAAGCCAGGTCGACACTGTGTCATGGATTGACGGATATTTTTTATCGTGGAAGTCAACCAACTTACTGGATGGTTAGTATTGTGGCTACAACGAGATTTTTCAGGGTCATATGTTCGTAGTGATAAAAAGTTACACTTTAGAGTGAAACAGATGTCGAAATTTTACCTAATTATGTTGGCCAGTGCGAAAAATGTACTTTGTAAGGTCTGTTTAAAGTATTCTTCATTTTGCGTTAATCGATTCATATTGGACTAAAACGCTCGGTCTGCTGCTGCTGCTATGGTCGTTTCAAGGACATCTTGAGGTTAACATGTTACATGGTTGATAATGGCCAGGGGTTTAATGGATAACGGTATGGAGTTTAACAGAACAAGAGATGGTTTGGATTCTGGATGGGAAGTCCTAACTCCCATAAGAATGACGGTGCATTCAGATGACGAGTCATAAATTCTGACATCCACCAATAAGAAATTAAATCGCTATTTTTATTTAATCCACTTCAATTTATCCATTCAAAACATGCTGTTATTATTATTATTCTCATTGAATTCCTAGTGAAATAGCTGGCTTCAGCAGAATGTTTCTGTTTTACTCTGTTCTCAGAGTGCACTTCCAGATGGTTTCATGATAGCCTGCAAGCTTTCATTTCCTCCTCAAGTGGTTGTCTTCAGGTCTCCTACGGACGTCTGAGGGCGTGATATGTGGTGTTACTTGAGCGTTTCCTGAGAGTGTGTGTAGTCTATCACCATTTCCTTCTATAAATTTGTTAAGCGATAGGTTTAATGATTATTTCGTCGCCATAGTTTCTTTTTGTTTATCCCTTTGGTCAGCCATCTTATCTTCATTATTGACACAAAGCAGTAGTTGATGAGAGTTTGCAATTTTTTTTAACAATGTTTTAGATTTTATTCCTTTACGTTCCTAGTAGAACATAGAGACTGAAGCTAGAGCTTTGGAGTTTCTGTAGCAGTGGATTGTTTTACGGGTTGAGGTTGCTGGCCTCACGCCCAGCTTTCACTCTTTGCCAGTCTTATTATCACTGACTTAGCTAGATAAAGGGATATGCCAGCTGGGAATTGAATTCCGGGCCAAATGTGTGGTTGGTATGCATTCTACCGCTAAGCCACCGAGACACTAGAGTTTGCAGAAACCTGTGTAAAATGCTTTTATTGACGTTTGTGCTATTTCTTCGAACCATATAAAAGTAGCGAATCGACATTAGTGTTGAAGATTTCAGTCTTGTCCCTTATGCTAGGTGCAGCTGATGTCCACAGTGATTTTAGATTAGTGAAGGTCAGTTGCGCCTTCCTAGCCTTGGCTTTGACATTCACATTCGTACTGTTTGTAGTTCAAACAGTAAGAGGTGGCTTCCTCCAGTCTTGTATATTCATCACTTCTGTCTTCTCTGTATTCAATTAAAGTCATTTTCTTTCTCAGGCAAGCATTCAAAGGTAATCTGATTTTAAATACACATAAAGTTATTGTAAATTATTTGAAATCATATGACATAATTTCTTATTTGGTTATACAAGAGAACATTATTAAAAGCATGTGACAAGCTTATAATAAAGACATATATATATATATATATACATACCTTACGGAATTACTTTCTACATCGAATTCTTGAAATTCTAAATCTATCACTTCATTTTGATAACCAACCAATCGGTATTCACAGATAATATCAACTGGATAAAGTCCAGGATAATTTGGTGAAGTAAAGAAACCAGATTTCGATGTAGAACTATGAAAGCTGAAATCACAATCTGATATTGTATAACAATGAGTGTAAATTTTTTGTACATACAGTTAGGCGGGATAATTGAAAGGAAAAATAAAAAAAAATTTACAGTCAGTAGAATTCAATTAAATGGGAGATTGTAATAGTTATCTATTCATCTACTCATGATTGTGAAACAATGAGTTGGTACATTAAAATTTAGAGAAAAACTTGGTTATTCTTGTCCGATTCATGAAATTTATGAGGATAGATTAAACGAGTGAGATAATATTATTACTGATTGATTGGAGATGAGATTGGCTGTATGCAGCCCATATCAACGAGTTGTGCTCGAGAGGATCTAAACATCCGGAGAGCCATTCCGTTCATTTCTGGACAACTCATCAGCGGTGTACTCGATTTCAACCAGCATGGTGGACTGAAATGATTCAAGCTACCAGATGAGTTGGGCAGAAATGAGCTAGATGGCTGTCCGGTGTCGAGACCACCTCGACCTAGTTAAGGCGCACTACTAGCTGATGTGAGTTGTAGACGACTACTTATTGCGGTCAGTTAGTAGTATATATAATTTTAAGAAAATATCCTTGCTGTCTTGATTACCGTTTATGGGATCAGGTAAATCTCTTATTGTAGTATAAATAATTTGGTTTCCGAAGGAAACTGTGATGAAAATTTCACCCCGAAAACTGTGTGTACTGCAAATTTGAAGATAGACTAAATTTTATACAATTTCTATTGGCAGTACACACCTATTTGGGTTCGAACCCAGCTCATTACGGTTACAAAGCCACTGGGACCCACTTAAATGGCCAACGCGACCACCAACCAATATCGTCAGTGGGACGGAGTTCTAGTGAGAAGTCATGACCAGTCAGTCCCATCGAGATGTCACGTTTGAGGTTACTGAGTCCCCTCCCAAGTAGCTGCTGAGTAGTCAACAACCTAAGCATCATAACTTGAAGGTCCCGGGTTCGTTCCTAAGCGAGGCGAGAACCGTTGAAGAGTTTAAACCTAAGACGAAACAGCTATCAAAGTGTTCTCCAAATCTCCACAAATCTTATAATCCAAATAAATTTAGTAGTTGTGTGTAGTGTCGCAGAATAATTACGCAACAAGAAGAGGAACTTCCGCACCGGTCATAAAACTTCAGAAAGGTGAAACTAAGTTCTGATCTTATTAGAGTCGAGTGCCAAAGAACGGAATGATTTTTGGTTCACTCCTTGATTCAGTTAAGATTTATTTCATTTTTAGTCTCATTGCCTAAAAAAAAAAATAATTATTATCTCCAACAATGTCACAGTTAATATTTCATTGTAAAATATGTATGTGATATTCACTCATGAATAGAATTCGTCCTAAGAAAAAAGAAGTGGAAATTCTTTGCTTAGTTTGTCTAAAGTTGATAGATATTTGTTTTCTCCTCTGCTCTCTTGTCCTCTCCCCGGAGAACAATTTCGTAGATACACAGGTAGAGAGACAAAGAGAGACAGCGAGAGAGAGAGAGCGACAGAGAGGGAGGGAGAGATCACTGTCATAAAAAAACACGATGGAATACATAGAAGATGAAGCTTATTTGATGTTACCATCTCCCTCGACCCCTCCCTGTTTTATGACTGTAAATAATCTCTGTTTATACACTGCTTTTGTGCTTTCATTTTCTGACATTAAGTAAGTAAGTAAGTAACTAACTGACTGCATTTTTCATTGTCTAACTTTCACTTGTTTTTCTCAGCCTAGTCAAAAACACACACACACACACACGAAAGAAGCAAAACTTCGCTGATTACGCAATGTGACGTTCTGCATCTCCCTTCACTCTTCCTGCCCCTCCTCGCGCTTGGTTGTCAAACAGTTGTAAAAATATAAATATCTTTTATATAAAAGTAAGAGAATTTCGTTTTTCTTCTCCTGCTGAATAAAGCTCAGTCCCTTTTTTTTTTCTTCTATGGTTGTTTTAGAGAAGAGAAATTTTCGTAATATTATTAACAGTAGACTGAATATCAAAAATATTGAAGAGACAATCTTTCTATGTGATAATATTAATTAAACTATTCATTAGGCAGATTTATTAAACTTTTAAAGAACAATTGTGATCGGTTGGGTATAACAAGTTCTCAAGCGCTTGTAATTCTGCGTTTTTGTTTGTTTTCAAGATTCATTCTTTAAGCTAATGTTAGGTAGAGAATTGTCGAAAAAACTAGGTGGTAGGGGAGAGTTATTTTGAACCGGTATGAGAAATACTCACTCATTACCGCAGAAGCTTCAAGTTATTTAAGACAAGCTAGCTAACTATTCAGATACTTGGATGAAATCTGAAACAATCATCTCCCTTTATGAATTTAGATAAAGCAATAAGAAGACGTAATTTATCTGATTCGTGTAATGTATGTATTTGTGCAACACATTTAGAACAATCTGATCATACACGAACTTGTTATAGAAATATATATGAAATTAATAAAGGGTTAAGAGGTGAGAAAATAGACTACTTAGGTCAAGTTAAAAGGACATATTCAAGGTGAGAATAACAATGAAGATCACTAAACCATATAGCAGAGGTATTAGTACATCTACCCTAACTGGTATCAAAATATAATTTACCAAGGAAAGTTTGCTGTGATGACGAAATGTTTTTTGAAGAACGCATAAAGGTGGTTAAAACTCCCCTAATTGCCAGCTAGGGCTTCCACAAACTTTACGATACGCCCCCAACACCTTTTATAGATAGGTTTAAAAGATCTTTTAAAGTTAATTTTATATCCTGTCTTTAAAATATGTCTCGTAATAGAGGAGCTAGGTCTCCTGTTCTCACCATTAATCGGTTCTGAAGATTTCATTTGTTTCTGGAGCAATTTAGGAATATGCTCTGAAGCCAGCCCTTACTTGCAGAGATCGATGAGTCCTCTCTATGTATGTGTGTTCACACCTACACTAGTAAACAATTACTTCCCTTATACATGTCCAAACTAAGTTCACTTTTAACAGTTTGAAAAAATGTGGGCATTGGGTCATATGATATTCATTATCATAAAGGTTATTGTATTTCTCATGAATGAAAAACAAAACGATACTGTTTTTACTCACGTTTAACTATTTAATGCTAATAACTTTATCAAAGTTACAAAATCTCAGCATATATATATATATATATATATAATATATATATATATATATATATATATAACAAAGAGTTAAGGGGTGAGAAAATAGACTTAGGTCAAGTTAAAGGGACATATTGAAAGTCAAAATGGCAATGAAGATCACTAAACCAAATAACGTCTGTTATGATATCAAATAAAGTTTACTAACTTGATCATCTTTCGTCTGTCTGGGGGCATTTTTCGTTGTCAACTTGGTCAATCGGTAAAGATAACAAAATCAAGTGTAGATTGTTGGATTTGATCAGTGTGTAAAATTATAAAAGCAGTGTGTGCTTGCATAGTGAACTTGCGTATCACATTTGTGTTGATTTTGTCTAATTACCATTATTTTATTCCTTTACGTTCCTAGTGGAACATAGGGCGGCTTCAAGCTAGAGGCTTGAAGTTTCTGTAGCTGTGGTGTTTATTTTTACAGGATAGAGTTGCTTGCCTCATGCTCAGCCTTCCCTTTTTACCAGTCTAATTACTGGCTTAGTGAGCATAGGAGTGCGTCTATGGCCGGGAATCTAACCCCGAACCACATGAGGCTGGTTGGCGAGCACTCTACCACTGGACCACCGTCTAGTTACTCAGAATTGCATGTTAGTGTCAATAAATGGGCGAATGTGAAAATTAGATGTGATTAGATTGTTAACCTAATGGGTAAATAGTAGTATGATGATCATATAATTTGGTGGTAGTATGCTTTTACTGTTGAAAAGTCTCACGCTAATATCAGACACTATGTTGGAGTGATATGATATATGACTAAAAGCGACATAAACCTAGTACTCTGACGAATCTGTTCTAATCGCTAACCAAAAGGTCAGTCACAAAGGTTTCACCACTGAACAAAAACTAAAAGATACTTAGAAAAAGCAATAAGGAGACGTAATTTGTCTGAATCGTGTAATGTATTTGCGCAACACATTTCGAACAATCTGATCACACATGGACTTGTCATAGGAATATATATATATATATATATATAATTGATAAAGAGGTAAGAGGTGAGAAAAATAGACTTAGGTCAAGTTAAAAGGACATATTCATATGTAATCTTTTTTTGATGTAAACTCGTTATTTACTAATGTGCCTTTGATCAAAACAGTTGACATTTTGTGTGATTATATTTCCACAAACAATTTTTTCATCCCGTTCCCTATATCTTACTTAAAAGATTTATTACTTCTATGTACTAACAATGTTAGGTTTACATTTGAAGGCGACTGTTTCCGCCAAGTTGATGGTGTTGCTATGGGCAGTCCGTTAGGGCCCCTTTTAGCAGATATTTATATGTCGTACATTGAGAATTTATCGGAAGATTTAATCGAAAATGTGCCACTTTATAGAAGGTATGTAGATGATATCGTAGTCATCAGTGATAAGCCTTGTTCTGCCACCTCAATTTTAAATCGAATGAATGAAGTTCAGAATAGCATATCACTTACATCTGTAAGAAGAGGAAGATAATTGTTTATCTTTCCTAGACATATTGCTTAGTCGACGGCTTGATGGGTCAATAAAAAGATCTATTTATAGAAAACCTACCTGGACAGGACAGTATCTTAATTACCACAGTTTCTGCCCTATTCGGTACAAAAGAGGCTTAGTAAGGTGCCTCTTCAGTAGAATCCGACGAATATGCACTGAAGACACGCTTGATGAAGAAGAAAGAATATTGACACAAACTCTGGTTGATAACAATTATCCAGAAAAGTTCATCAGGAGATATAAAGTAGTCAGAACACCAAACCCACTCTCCAACTCGCCCCTAAGAAAGACGTGTACATCAAGCTACCCTATATGGGACATCAAAGCAGCTTGATAACTAGACAAAGGCTGAACGCTGCTGTTAAAAAACTTTTTATGCAGCTAATATCATAATATTAGAGAATGTAAAGCCATTATATCTATCTAAGCCCTTCGAACATGCGAAAAATGACGTCACATCCCACTGTATTTACCAATTTGAATGTACGTGTGGACACACATACATAGGGAGGACTCATCGATCTCAGCAAGTAAGGGCTTCAGAGCATATTCCAAAATGGCTCCAGAAACGAAAAGAATCATCAGAACCTATTAACGGTGAGAACAGGAGACCTAGCTCTTCTATTGCGAAACATATTATAGAGACAGGTCATAAAATTGATGTTAACAGATCTTTTAAACCTATCTATAAAACGTATTTGAGGCGTATCCTAAAGTTTGTGGAAGCCCTAGCAATTAGAAAGTTCAAGCCACCTTTATGCGTTCAAAAACAATTTGTCATCACATTAAACCTTCCTTGGTAAATTTTGTTTTGATTCCATAGCAGACGTACTATTACCTCAGCTATTTGGTTTAGTGGTCTTCATTTTTATTTTGACCTTGAAAATATGCCTTTTTAACTTGACCTAAGTATATTTTTCTCACCTCTTACCTCTTTATTAATTTTATATATATTCCTATGACAAGTCCGTGTGTGATCAGATTGTTCTAAATGTGTTGTGCAAATACACCACACGAATCAGACAAATTACGTCTTCTTATTGCTTTATCTAAATTCATAAAGGGAACTAATTGTTTTAAAAGATACTTATTAGGATTTTAGGAAGAAAAGAACAAGCAGTTCAACAAAGATATCTTTTCGATGATTTCATTCTGAAAAGCAGCTGTACAATCGCAGTTTTATTCATAACTTCACAGAATTACAATTATGATTTATTTTGACGCAGGGCGAAGTTACGATTTGTGTCCTAGCGAGTACCAGCGAACGAGTGACTGTGAACGCATCGATGATACGATAAAAGATGATTTTTACGTACAACATACATATATTCATGAAAATAATGAACTAAAAGGCACGGAATTGTTACACAGAATACCTTTCACACATGTGTGATAAAAATACCTCTCAATTTTGGATTGGATTATCAACAGATTAATTAAACCACATTCTATGCATATACTTATCAAGGCCTACTTACCTGAACAATATCCCGTATCTTTCCTTACCCTTAACCTAACGTGAAAATATCTTTACACTAAGCGTATTCCAACTCACACCAACCATAATGTTGCTCTTGTTAGGTTATAGTGTTATAGTTTTCTTTGTCCTCTCCTATTTGTCGTCTTAGGGGTCGTAGAATTTTCTAAATATCAAGGTGGACATGTGTTATATCATTACTATTACACGTATTCCCAATCAGTTGATTCGATAAAAAAAGCTTCTGTTATCAATCTCTCCCTCCTTCCACCCTGTGACATTAGATTTTGAAACTGTCATCTTATCCCATCCATCCTATTGTAAGGTTGTGTGTGATTGCATGTAGTGAGTGGTATAGCTGAACTATTCTCTAGATTTCTTATCTTATTCGGGTAAACTAATTTAGATTTTTTTAGGTTTGTATGCCCGGGTTAGTCTGACTGCACCTGTTCTACTTCTGTGACCAATGTATTTGACCTGACAAACCTGGCAGGGTATTAGGTAGACCAAATTGTTTTGTTTTATTGGCTCCACTTGCAGGATCCTTTAACCGACAAAGCTTGTTTCTAATTGAAATTGTGGGTGGTTTGAATGGCAGCCACGTTTAGTCCTACCTTGTTAAGAATTCTGCGTAAGCTGGTTTCCGAGGTTCCTTCCTTGTATGGACTTACTACTGATGATTTAGATTCCTTATTGTTGGTGTTGTCATTATCCTGTGCATATTTGACTTGCATATCGTCATTAGTATAACTACTATTATTATCACCATTATAATCACTATCACTACTATCTTTATTTATTTTGCATTCTGACTAATTTATCCGGGTAATTATTAAGTTTCAAGGCTTCTCTTATATGCCTGACTTCCTGTCTTAGATTTTTCTTGATACTACTTAGTTTCTGTGCTCCGTCACTTAAACATTTCACCAATCCTACTTTTACTGACATAGGATAGGATGATCGGAAGTCCGAATGTCTGTGTGAATGTATGGGTTTCCTGTGAACACTAGTGTTTAACTTCCCATCTTCTTTCCTTTTTATGCTACAATCAAGCATTGGAAGTTCCCCTTCCTGACTTTCCAATTCATAAGTGAATTGAATTGCCTCCACCTTTGAGTTAATGTGTTAGAAAAATCTTTCTATACCTTGTGTTCTAAGTACATTGGGTGTGTCACCTACATATCTTCACCATACTTTTGAGGTGAGGCTGAACATTTAAATCGCTATGTTTTCTCATCTATCAGTGAATATATCTGCCACAACTGGGAACATTGATGATCCTATGGCAACTCCCTCAGTTTGTTTGTATATTTTCCCTTAATATTTAAATACTGTGGAAGTCAAGCATAGCTGTAATCCAAGCATTATGTCTTGAAGTGGCACTTTTGTCCTAAGTTAGAGTTCTTGGTTAGAAATGAGTTCATTTCTGACTGCCTCTATAGGTATATATATATCGATATACATGTATTTTCACTGACAATTTCAAAACTAGCCATTTTCTCTTCAATATCTAATTTTAAATTATCTAAGCTATTTTTCTAGTTCGTAAAAATTTGTAAGTCTAGATTTCGAGTGGCTTTTTAGGGGATTTAATACCATGGCTAAATATTTAGATAATTCATAAGTAAGTCAATTTCTATAATTAACTATTGGTCTGATAGTGTATCCTGAATGATAAACTTTAACAACACCATACATCCTGCTTTGGTTATTAGTTTTGGGCATTAAATTGAACCATATAGACTCGAAACGTCATCCAGCAAATAATACTGCTTCAATGTGTGATATATCTAATAAACAAACTAATATGGAATTATTTACTACCACAGTGCTCAAGTTTTACACAAATATTAATCAGACTTGGCTCAGCACTGTAAGAAGGGTAGATTAAAAGGAATAATTATATTTTTTCAAAACTTGATCTCAACTTTGATCTGAAGGTGTGAATGTAGACTACAAATGGAATAGAAACGGAATAATACAGGATTAGAAATTATTTGCGTAATATGCAGTAGAATTTTTCAACGAAGACGTGGGTGAACGGTATGCTCATTCAAAAGTTAGGTGATGATGATGTTGCCACAATGAAAGTTCAATGAGAAATATGAAGTGCAAAATAGGAGACAGACCAGATCGCCTAATATTATCTGCATTATTCCTGATTTCGGCGCAGAGAATAGAATGAAATGGCGATGTTCTGTATTCCACTCAGAACCCATGTGTGCGTCGGTGGCACAATGGTTAGGACTCTCGCCAACCATGCACATGTTGTGGAGTTCGATCCCCTGTCGACGCACACCTGATATCAATGGTCGGTCTGCAAAATTTGGGCTACCTATATCACATACTGAAAATTCCATACTTTTACCATAAATACGGTGTTGAATCAAGCTATAATCAAAAATAGATAACAATAATTATAATTATAGTGCTTGCCAAGTTAGATAGGGATGACCTATAAATAATCAGCTTCCTGAATATAATTTAGTCACGATATGACTTGATGACATTAGGTCTACTTGAAAGGATTCGTTACATATTTGTAGATGTATTCCATCGATAGTGGTATTGCCCAGAGCGCATAGTCACAGTGAATAAAAAATAAATACGTTCTGTACTTCATTAGCTTACCGATACAATGTGTTATAAATAAATATCTGTCATGGAAAATGAAATAAACAGCTCACCTGGAGAAATTTGTTTCCCATGTGATTTGTTCACTCCATAATCTAAAAAAGTTAAATAGACAAGTAATTATAAATTAACCTGGATGAACAAGCGAAAAAGGATGCTGAAATCTTAGCATAAAAATATAATCCTTTTAACATTATGTAGCTTATGTTAAACTCTTAGCGTACGATGACTTTAGAAAAGCAAATAAAAAATTACATTTTATTTTTCAGTTAATGCTTCTTATTACCAATTTGAAATCTTCCTTTGTTTATTGTGATTATGATCATATAAACAGGTTGGATCGAGAGTATTTGAAAAGGCTCCCAGCGGCTTAATGGTTGATAAGCTCGCCTTGTAACCAGAAGATTGTGGGTTCGAACCCTAGGGGTGCTGGCGTACTGATGAAGAATTCCAAATTAGTGTGACGAAACAGCTGTCCGAGCTAGTTTTCCAATGGTTCTTTAACCGATGTCAGCTCATATTGAAGTCCCTAAATCCCTACAAACCAATACTTGAAAATTTAAACTTCTGTACATTGTTCAGATTTCGTATGTTTGAGTTGTATCTTAACCTACTAAACTCTAGATTCTCTACAGTCGTAATCTTACTTTGACAGGTATACCATAATGGTGTTGAAGGTTGATGGGTATACGTAACACTTGTGCCAAACCAATTAAACTATTTAGGTACATAAGCCACTGTTCTGTTTAACAATCTGGTAACCAATTCCTTCGCCTTTCTTTTATCTTTAATGATAATGTCATAAAATGGAGTAAATCTCACCATCAGGTAGTACATCATACTTCGATGTTCGATTCTTCAACACGTTTGTATGACAAACTGAGCAATCTGTCGAAAAGCCGAAAAGGCTTCTGTATGCTGGTCTAGATCTATTGACTATCATCTCTATTCAACTGATGAAACTTTTCTGATAAATGAAGTTATTTATTATCTCAGTCTTTTAACTTCCTTCGATTTCGATGCAGGATATCTACGGAAATGTGATATACACTACCAGTCACACGTCAAACCAACGATCTACCGGTTACAAGGAGAGCTGGCAGACGATTCAGCCACCGACACCTGAGTAAATGGAACATGTATGCTAATTTCTATCGTTTCGGGGTTTTCATGCAGCTGGCACCAGTTAATACTGTCAGCGAGTATTTGTCCTCACTCCTGACAAGATGAATCCTATTGGTCACGACTTCTCACTACAAATCCAGGCAACCTCATCCTCTGGTGAGTCACTAATGAGTGCTAGAATAATTTTCAAGAGTTGGTATTTTTAGGGATACGATCTGCTCCAAGTCTTGGCCATGGATTATTATCAATTAGGGAGCCATAGATAAAAAAGCAGAGAGTCTTCGACAGCTGTTTCTTCCTAATTTGGAACTCATCAGTAGTAGGCATCCTCCAGGGGGTTTGAACCGAGTTCTAGATTAGGAATTAGTCCATAGCCAGACCTGATAAAAATCAAATCCCTCAGAAATACTCTTTCGAATAAAAGTTAGTATTGTTATTCACATGTGAAACTTGGTAACGGATTGTTTGTTCCAAAATTTAGTATCTCTATATAGTCAAGTTATGTAGACCTTATCTTTAAATCACCTTCTGCATAGATCTTCTGTGTTGTGCTACTTCTAGCCTTCGTGTTGTGTTTCTTTGTGTTCCTTGCGTGTCTCTCGTATAGCTCTACAACACTGCATCAAATCTATCTCCCTGTTAATTGATGTTTTTATAGTGATGAATGTCTATATATATATATATACTACTGGTAAATTTTATTAGTAGCACACGCCAGAACAGTTCTATAGGAATTTTAACAACTTATCAGAAAAAAAACTATCTAAATTCATATTTACGACCGAAAATGATATACAGGTAATTTAGTGTCGGACTCTGTTCCTCCCATTCACTAACTCATTCACTCAACCCGTTTTCCTCTCCCTCCTTTCTGTTCAACCGTTGATAATTAGTGTAATAAAATGAACAATTTTTTGTCTGTTTCTACACACACGAAAATGCACCTCATTTTGATTATCATTTATGAGTTTTCCCATGAGTGTGATAATTCGAGCCTCTTTTGTTTACGTCTGTTAGTTATTCCATTCCCATTTCTACCTGACTGACCTCTTGTTCATTAGATCATTTACACTCCTATCATCCTTTTATCTCTCCTTTTACACACACACACACAGATACAGACGTTAAAATTGATGACTACCATCAGAGTGACTTAATTAATTACCTTTGAAGATGAATTAAATTTTGAGAGCTTTTATGATGCCAGAAAACATTAGATCATTGACAATATGTTATTGAGCCACCTAAATGGGTCTACATACATCAAATTTGCAACTTGAACAGTTTGAGGTGAATATTTCCCTACATCTCTGTTCGGAAACCAAAATTGCACAGTTCATACTGTGTAATTTGCTTGATATCAAATAATCAAGCATAAATGCTTTGCACGGTGTACTTCTGATTTATTGAGGTGACTAACGTCAAACAGTGGGGCTTGTTAGTCTGATACATCGCTGAAGAACTCGGACCCAAATGAGCGGAATGGTGGTACGATGTTTAGATCACTTCAATTTCATGATTGATGCAAGTGGCATACAACCGCTCATATCAACCAATCATTAATATGTTATTATTGCATTATCATTGTTCCTTTAGGTTCCTAGTGGAACATAGGGCTTCAACTGCACGTCTCCACTTGCCACTTCTGTCTTCTGCTGTACTTTTTACTTGCATTCATGTTAGTCCATACTGTTTCAGCTCCTCCTCACACGATCTCCTCCATGTCACCCTTGCACCGACGACCCACTCGCCGCTTCCCTTTCGACCTGGTTCCAATCGAGCAATGGCCTGACGCGCGCGCGATGTCACCCAGAGGCTTCCTCAGTGAGTGTCTAATCCATCTCCACTCCATCTCCTGCATATATCTTGGTTGGTGATTGGTTATTGTTTTGTATGTTTGTTCCCATAGTTTCTTGTTGGTGGTGATTCTTTCCGGCCCGGCCATCTGATCTTCAGCATAGATCCGGCGAAGACAGTTGTTGATAAAGGTCTCAAAAAATACCTGAAGTAGAGAATATCTCTAGATGAAAGTGAATAATATATATTTTGTTTTGGTAGAATTATTCAAGAAGTGTGATAAATAAGTGCTTATTCATAAAAACTAGATTTCCCAGGAATAATCGTCATCTATACATTACTTCGAATTTTCTACACATTCTTTTAATTTGGTCAAGTCTGATTGGGAGTTTTTTCAGGATTTAGAATATTTTCAATGCGGATTTCATCATGGGTTAACATCAATCAGAGAGTGATTACAAATCAAGGAGTTCTGTCCAGTGTTTTTTGCTATGGTTCGTGGCTCTTCAAAACTGAGGACCCATAAACCCAGAAGATGGGGTTAAACTTAGAACCTTCAGATAGTGAGGCCATTACTAAAGATTGATAAACTACGACAAAACAACTGCTCATTAATCCTTGGTTTTCAGTGATTCTCCCTTACTAATGTTGGTTCAAGACTAAGTCAGAGACTTCTAATAAGAGACAATTGACATAAGAAAACACGAATACTTCTAGCTGATATGAATCTTTCCTATGTATCGAAAGTCGAATATTCAGAGTTGTAACAATAACTCACCAACAGCAGAGTCCGTCAAGTCAGGTATGAACTGATGTATTCAGCTATAATGCTGAATAACTATGGTGCTGTGATATGAAATGAAATGATATAGAAATCATAAGCTTCGACGATATATTCATAATAAAACAGTGCTGCTTTGAATTTATTCCCCTGATGATTTGAAGAGTTGTCTGTTGAGAAGAAATTGGCGAATCAAGATGAAACGTTGTTGTTGCTGGATTCAGTTAATACCAGCATGCGAAGAAATCGACTGAAACGCTAAGAGTAGTTGTTCATCAATCGTCCACTGGTTTGAAGAAGACTAAAAGACAAGATCTCATATCTAAGGACTTCTATATGCATATATCAATTCACCTGTTCCTGTGAAGCCAGATATTCTGGTTGTTTTGATGCGTATACTGTAAAATAGGGTCCAAAAACACTAAGTTACCTCATGGTTAAAGAAAGGTAACACTAGCTCTTAAATGAGTGTGATAATTGAACACCTTATCAAGCAACACTGGTCATTCTGTCTGAACAAGCTTCTCCTTCTGTTTAATCTATAATGTGAAAAACAACCCACCAAAGGCTACAGGTTTTTGTCTCTTCTGCACTGCTGAAGTTTTAGCCGATCATGTAGAGAAACTAAAGCTGTGTATTATCAGGCAAATTACTCATCCACTTCTATTATTATAATAACGACTTTTTTTATTTTCTATTAACTTGATATTTTACTTGCATTTAGTTCTTTCTAACCCTCTTGATTCTTTCAAACTTTTACCTGTTGTCACATCTTCCTTCGTTCCCATGCACATCCTGATCGCAAGTCATTCACTGAATCATTTTTTTTCATAATATGACTCGGGATATTTATTTAAAATTATTAGCTGATAGGACAGACGATTTTGTTTTTCAAAATGGGTTTCTTTCTCTAGATAGACAGCATGATTCTATTGGACAGTCTTTTACCTCACCCAACTACCTGGAATGTGTTGATTTACCGTTGATCTAAATAACTTAGGTACATGGAAGATTATGTGAACACCTTCATGATGCATTTCTATCAAATTACTGTTATTATCCTCTTGGGTTCTCAGTAGAACATAGACCTTCAACAAAACATCTCCACTTTCTTCTATTTTCTGCCGTCCGCTTCAGCTGAGTCCATGATCGGCCATAATCTCCCATCTTATCTCTCCCACACACGATCTCTTCCATGTCACCCTCGCACTGACAACGCACTCGTCATTTCAGATTTGGATTCAACTCGAACGATGGTCTGCACTGTGCACGATGTCATTCGACAGCCTCCTCAACATGCTCCCGATCTATCTCTATTTTCTACTACATATTTGTTGAGCGATCGGCTCTTGGCTGGTTCGCCACCTCCCAGAATTTCTCCTCGCTAATCCT